ATAGAATTTTGACGGAAACCTTTTAATGTTAAATTTGTTTCACCTTACCGTTCCCTAACTATGCAAGTGCCTCTGTATTCCGTCCTTAGTCTCTTTCCTCCGTTAACTGAGTCGAGAATTTTTATGCGAAATTCCAGGTATGCAAGTTGTTGCCCGCAGGTATTTGTATCGTAATGGTGTCCCTGTGTGGGAGCGCGGAGACTGCGCCGCCATTCCACGGATTTTCTCCTGCAACTCATTCGCTGAACAAATTCCTCGACCAAATAGACATAGATCGTACATAAACGTGGGTTACTGTAGCGTCCATACTTAGAGGTCTCGTCGTGAATACAGCCTCGTTCAACAAGGTTCAGACGGACCTGTCCCATGTGGATGCCTTCGGGAGACTCTTAGTGAGTTTTACTTTTACTTTTATATTTAACTTGTAACGGACGATGTGTGTAACTTAACTCCTATTCTCCAGTTCGATTGATTACTCGAAGCGCTCTTTTCCTCGACAGCAGACCTTGGTGCTGCTCATTGCCACAGAATGAGTTTGGGCGCAAAACACTATGTTAGATGCATTCATCGTTATTTGACATACTATTATCTAAAGTAGCGTAGTAAAAGGATGAAGACAAGGTAGGGTAGACGGATTAGACTTCGTTGAAATTGTAAAACTTTTGGATTAATACGAGTTTAATCGTAAGGTGTTAGTCATAAATTCTGTTTACGGCGGGTGGCATTTCGATTGTCTTAAAACATTAACGAAAATGCGTGACCAGCCTGTAAAATGAGCATAAATTAAAGTTGTATAAATATAAGAAAATCGTTAACTCAATCTGTACTCAACTTATTTTAGTTAGATTAGTTATGCAAAAATAATTTTTGGTTGCCGTCCTTCGAAAATATTTTGGTTAGGTGAAATGAATTAAACGATTGTGGAGTGGTTTACGCGACACGAGGGTGAACACCGGGGTGTCCCTGCCCTGTCCCAAATTCATCTCGTATAAAGTCTACCTTTCACCTTGTCCTCTTTCATACACACGTCGACATGCAAAATTAAAAAACAGTGTATCTCGGCGGTTTATCTTCGTCTTGAAACCTTTTTCTCTTCTTCTCCTCCCTCGTTCGTCTTATTTGGTCCAGTCGTCAGTCTGCAGAAGAAAGACAGAGACGTTACAGGACTATTCCGATGTCGGACACTTAAGGTCAGAAATAAGATGTCGAATTGATAACAGACGAGAGACTTGGTCACCCTGACACGTCCGCCTCAATTTCATTCTGTACTTAAAGAGGTCTCTCGTCCACCGTAAAATTCGGTTCTTTTGTGACAATCTTCTTTTTGAATCGATAACTATTACGTCGTCTTTTGTGTTATCCTTTTGTCTCTTCACTGTTTTTATTGACTAAACAACTGAAACAAACAGTGTCACTCTAGATAACCGAAAATTAGGTAAAAGATTTTGTTGCTTGACTCCTCGGAAACGGTCACCTTTTGTTTTACGTGAATACTCTTATAATATACAGTCACACGATTTAGACAGGGGAGAGAGTCGGAGTTGTTTATGAGTTCGATACACTTATAAGAGTTATAGGACTCGTACAACTAATACATTAAGGGTTTTGTACAGGTGTATGACTCGTACTCACTCGTTATACGTCATCGAGTAACGTGTCGGCATTATCTATTTATACACTTCCAACCGTATATGAGTAAAGTTTGGAAATAAATAGGTCGCACTTTAGGAACTCTTAGTAACTAGAGAAAAAGTTCCCTCTGGACGAGTTCATCAAGGTGTACTTTGTATTTTGTTGTCTTGTTTGTTTTCTCTGTTGGTGTGTTGTGGTGATGTTCCCTATTTGTTAAATGTTATGATAGGTGGGTGAAGTGGTGGTGCCACGGCTTGTCGAGGTTAACACATCTGTAAGGTTGTTCGAAATTTTTAGTAAATCACTGGTCTAACGAGTCAAAGGTAAATAAAAAGTCTACAGGTTCTGTTGTCCTCGACGCGTAGATTTTACGATAGAGGGAATTCTGTCCTTGTCAACCGGAGTTAAGTTATTTTGGTGTCGTACTCTAAGCAGTCGTCATCGGGTGATGTTAAGCGGCACTCTAGTCCCTCGTCTACATCCCTACCCTTCAAAGGATTGTACCCCAAGGATGATATGTCTTTGACATATGGTCACTGATCGGAGACATGCATCACTTGCCAGGGGGGGGGGGGGGGGGGTTTGGCTTTTTACATACGGCACAGACACAGCATCTCATCTAACAAACTTGAGAATTCATTACCGGAGACACTCTAATATCGTCCAGGGTAGAGTCCACTCTTCAACTCGTCACCACTTACACACTCCTTTAGAAA